ATGCCTGGCCTGCAATGGCGGTTGGCGAGCAGGTTTGATGGTGGTTGATGGTGGTTGACGTTAACCAGCACACGTGGGAATCGACGCCGGGCCGGGTTGGGTGGTACCGACAAAAGTTGAAGTCGGCGTCGAGGTCGATGGGGTGACATGGCGAAGGCGGCGTATCGGAATCGAAATGGCCGAGTCAAATGCCGAGGTAAGTAGGTGGAAGACAAGAGCGGGAGGGGTAGAAAGTGGGCGAAAGTCAACGGTTGACTGTCAACTGAGGGATTGAGTGAATACTGCACGTACTTACGTGTTCTTTGGGCCATCAAAGTGGCAGTACGAGTCCGCAGCCCTCCGGGGGTCCCGCATCGTTTCGTATGCCGGGCTAGGGGCTCATCAGTTTCTGCTGGTTAGGGCATCAAGCCGTCCCGTAAAATTACGCGACGACGGGCCGTAGAGACGGTTACGCCCCCGTACCGTATGGCGAATCTTGGGGTCTGAAAACCGCCGTTTAAATACGGCAATTTCACGGGTAAGTCCCCTTGCTTCATAAGGTCTTTTGGTTATTATCGGTGGGTTCCTATTTGTCAAAGAGTCAGTTTCACGCTCACAGAGAATTAGTAATAGCTCCAGACGAGCACAGAGAGTTCACCTTACGCCCGTAACGGGCGGTTACGGTACGGGTACGGGTCACAAAATCACGTCCCGTTTGGTCAAAAAATATTACGGTTACGGACGTATTTCTTACGCCCGTGGGCGTAAAACGGACGGCTTGATGCCCTACTGCTGGTTTTATTTTATTTACACACTAGCATGCCACCGCATTTCCTAACTATTCCAGGACACGTATCCGTGCGAGCGTTGGTAGAAACAGCCTGAAGGAGAACGAGGATAAAGAAACAAGGGGTTGCCAGACCGTGAATGCCGGACCCGGACCAGGGAGGGTGGTTCGGCCGCCAGGCTGAAAAAACAAAACTGGGGGTCATTTATTTTTGGCCGAGAAACTGTCTAACGGGGCAGTTTTGAGCGTTCTACACCTGTTTCAAGCCCTACATACGTTCCTTTTACCCTAGGGAGCTAAAAATGTTGAACCAGTTGGAGATTTGATGGCCGCGAGTGTCGGGATCAAAGCTCAGTGATGTGAAAAATGCGCGCTGCAAATGTGAGCAGAACCTGTGAGGTATGAGGGTGCCCTTACCAATTCTATGTCTTCCCGTTGCTATCTAACCCCGCCGTACTTACCACATTGTGATGTGATGCTTTTCGAACAATATACAGCGGTTTTTGAGTTTCTGGTGACTAAATTCGCACCTCACACATCTCACAGAGTTAAGTGGCAAACTCCCTCATTCCATGCTCTCTAAGCTCCAGCAAGATGTACTTATGCCATGTTTGTGCAGCGGAAGATGCCGAGCACGTGATGAATTGCCTTATGGGGACCGGCTGCCGAGGTGGTTATGCTTATGAGGTAGGGTGGTTCAGCGACCTCGGCTTAATTTGAAGAACCGGGTCCAGTTCACTTTTTCACAGAACTTTACCCCTTGTAAAGAAAGTGCTTTTCCTGGCGCCTGACCTGCGGTCAGCTCGGCCGCGCCGGGGCTGGGGAAGGCACTCAACACGGGGTTTGCAAAAGCAGTCTACACATTTTATGGTGCGGGGAGGAGCCCAAAACTTCAAAAGATAGAGGATGAATTAGAAAGACAACCTGAAGAGACCACAAAACAGGAATGAAGGGAGGAAGGTACAACATTCAAGAGACAAGTCCACAAGGCGATGAGAACTTTTGCCAGCGGGAGGTTGCGAAACGTACGCCACACAGGTCGTAGAACATAGGATTTGGTGTGCCGCACATTCTCCGGCGCAAGGGAGGCGACGCCAAGAGCGTGCATAACTCACCAACACCCAGCGGCAGAAAATAAAGGGGAGACCCAAGACGAGGTGTGTGGGCACTTACCATATCGCACTGGGGGCAAAGACCCACACAGATGAACACCATGTGCGATAAACACACATCCGTCGCACATGGCTTTCATGATGTGGTGCGCAAAGAAAAAAGCCAAAGCACCTTCCCCTCAACATTGTTCGCTACTAAAGGCATTTCAGCTCTACTTTGTTCGCCCCGGCAACGACATGCCCATTATCCCTGTGCCGAGTCCCGACTTATCGATGGAGGGTGACAAGAAGGCCGACCCCAAAACTGGTGTGCGTGGGTTTGTTGACCACTGCACTTCTCACTGTCTCTGCTTATTCTGCCTTCCTTGAGATCTCTGGCACTGCTGTTCTCGCAGAATGTCGCGGGCCTGCAGATTTGCACCCCGCAAGGAGAATGGAAGTTCTTCAAGCCTGTCCCGGGTGTAATCACGGTCAATAGGTTCGTTTATTCTTTGAATGCAGAATAGAATGGCCGTTGTTATTGATGTCGTACCAGTACCGATGTCCTCCAATTCCTCACCAAGGATACGTCAGGTCCACCATCCATAAGAGGGGCTCACCGATCAGAGCACCCTTCTAGCTCACACTATGCACAAATCATGTTGTATGGCCTCGGCCCGATGGCGCACCTTGAGTGCCGTACTACCGGGAAATCATCTTGCCGGCGCTGGCGCGATCCTGCGCCCGTTACGACATCGAGTGATCCCTTGATTGCCTTCATAAACGAACATACAAACCCAGGCACAAATCAAGGGTTAGGCCGCAAGCATAATCAGCATTTCTGATTGAGACACACCGAGTTCTCGGCGGATGTTTGAGCGAGTTTTCATGGCCGTAGCTTCCATTTGTATACAATGTATTCACCACCCAAATAAAGAACACAATAACCACCATAACAAAGCCCTCAGTGTAATGCAGCTGAGGATGGTTGGCAACGCCGCGTGGGATAGGAAATAAAGATGTGTGTCATGCCTGTAATTTGAAGGTCAAATATACTGCGCGCAATGTGCACATCACCGGATTTTACCTTGTGTCTCAAATCTTCATGCAGCGCCTTGGTGTGATGTGCGGCAGTCTTCTGTCATGGATTTAGCGCAGGAAGTGAAGCGGGTTCCTTGCTCACTTACAGCATTGTCTGTCGTGGATTGCAGTGATTCCACAGAAGCCAAAGCCACCTGCTTTGCATCCAAACTCATGGCCGCCAGCAAGCTATACCGTACACCACGAACGAAGGGATTGAAGGTTTTGAAGAGAGCGGTGGATGAGGTGCAGAGAGAAGGGCAAGGACGTGGATAGGAAGACGCGCACTGCGGCAAAAGACGTGTCGGTGCCTCGGACCGGTTCCGCTTTGGAAATGCGGGAAAAAAATGTGTCATTCTCATTCCTTTCCAGATCGGCTGTAAGGTGCACTAATGCGCAGTATATATAATTGTGTGGTGTGTGTGTGTACAGTCCTCTCCGTATGGAGTGAACACTTTGCCAGGTTCCTCAAAGATTTAGTTCTTCATTTGGGGCTGGCCTTCCGAATAGACCGCGGATGGATAGTTTTCTTGCTCGAAGAGTTCGCTCTGCAATGTGAATGCTGTTCCATTCCAGAGTACTCGGGTTATCTGTTATACTTTATCCACCCGTCTCGAACGTATCAGACATCAGGTCTCTTCAATAAAGTGTAATGCTATACGGACGGCTATAGTGATTCCCTTTGTAGTGAGGTTTCTCTGTTTGTGAGCACCTTGAAACGTCGTTCCTTCCGTTTTGAAGACTCGGGGGTGAAGTGTGCGATATGTGTTCGAACTCCCAATAAGAATGGTTGCACGAAGCCAAGTTAAGCTACTGGCCGTTTGGTGGTGTGCCGCGTAATCTGCTACTGCGCGCTTTCAAGTCCGGATTGACTATATTCCCTCCGTATCGGTTTATCAAAACGGAGGTGAGGCGGACAGAGTTTTTTGACAAGCCCTGGCCTTTAGGTGACCTTGGTTTGTCCTACTATTGGGCGGCACGACCCGTAGCAGAGTGTATTCAATTTAAATCCCCACCCTGGTGTACTTCAGGGGGAGCAGCTTTAGGTATATGCAGTGAGAGGTGATAAGATGATCATTCCGTATCATACAGCTGGCTTTTATACTGTTCTCCGTCCGATACTCATGCGCGTAATAACTCCTTGTTTAGGAAACGGAGCCCTCTTCCGTTTCCATTCTGACTCACCGTGTCGATCTCCATGCGCTCCCTATGTTTAAAGGGGATGACAGTCAATTTAGAGTTGCCTCGTGCCCTCTCCGTTTCCTGTTTGGTCACCCCGTTTCCCAAGAGCCCACTCCATATGCCGGCCCGCCATCGGTCCGTCTCCGTATTGAATTTAACTGTGCTTCCTCGAGTTTCCCGGAGTCCGAATTATAGGTCAGCCAGTGCATCCCCGGTTCACGGTCGAATGGTGCAGTTGGTAGCACTCACGGTTGCATTGAGAATAACTCCATGACCTACTCGCCGCAGGACCCCCATTTGACTCAGGGTTCGGCCCTTCCTACGAAGTCTCTACAATCTCTATGAGTTGACTCCCTGTTTTGCTATTTAAATCACGGCCGGGTGGTGCAATGGAAACGCGCACAATCAACTTGAATCTCCCAAGTTTTTGTTTGCGAGTTCCTCGTTCAATTTGGGGTCCGGCCTTGGGGCACAAATATTGGGGTTTTATTTTGAAACAGGATCCGTGTTTCTTTTAGATTTGGAATTGTGAAGCAATGGCCTGGTGGTGTAACAGTTAACATGTGTGAAACAGATGGCCACATAGATTGGCTCTTCACGAGTTTTCTGTTCAATTCGGAGTCTGGCCGTTCTTTCAACCCAATGGACTTTTTAATTCAGGTCCGTATCATTTTTGTTCGTTTGTCGAGACTTTTTTTTTTTTCAATCACGGCCAGGTGGCGTAGTAGCAACGCATGCAGGACGAGTCCCCGCTCAACAATATTTCCCTGCAAGTCCTTCATTCGATTCGGAGTCTGGCTGCTCGTTTAATCCAATGAGCTTTTTAATTCACGTCCGTATCATTTTTGTCCGTTTGTCGAGGCTCTATCATCCATAATCATGGCCAGGTGGCGGAGTGGTAACGCATGCGAGACAAATACAGGGCCTGCAATGTTTCCTTGCAAGGTCTCCATTCGATTCGGGGTCTGGCCTTGTGGAGTGGTGTGAGTCTTTTTTATTCAGAGGTGCAGCAGTTGTCATATTCTTGGATACGGAGTCGTAATCGTGAAAGCTTGTTTTTGCTCCGGTTTGGCTGCGTTCGGAGCGCATCACAAAGTGACAGCTCACAGCGCGATAGGTGCGTGGCTGCAAGGGTGAGCTGCAACAAAGGGGGAGGAGGTAAGTCGCTGCACAGAGGTATTGAGGCCTTGGCGGAGTGTTCGGTCTAGTGGTGCCGTCAACGTGCATGATCATAGTCGTTCCGCCGAATGCACGATCCCACGTAATGGCCTGCAAATAAAGAAAAGTCAATGATATACCACCATGTCCCAGAGCGCAACCTGCATCTGGTCACTGAGCGCTCTCCTGACTTGGGAGCCTACAGGTCCAGTAACAAGCAGTTGACAAAGAAACCTTGTTGTCCAATGCGGTGTTGGCCATCGGTGCTAGATCCCACAACAAACCATGCAATATCGGCAGTAAGAAAGTGGTGGTGATAGCGCTGAAAGATCCCAGGCTTTACAGTGTGAACACCAAACTTTCAACGAAGTTCGTAGAGGCTGACAGGTCCGAAAACGAGTTGGTGCCATGCGGGGGAAAGTCGGGAAAGACTTGCCCATCACGGAGGGGGGAGGGTCAAGGGTAATACCGGGAAGGCCCTAGTTGAAGGTCGCCATCGACGTGGTGAGAGACAAGAGAATCTTGTGAGAGGGAGGGATCATCAACATTCACTGCCACTGATTCTGCAGATCCCATGTCCCGATGCGGAAACTGTCACAGAAGACGAACAAAATAGTGGTTATATACTTGGTTTAGAGCACCTCCGAGGTTCAGAATGCTGTATAATTGAGCCTATATCTGAACACAATTTCTGGTGGACATAATCAGGTGTTTGTCATTTTTACCATCAAGCATTATACCAAGTACTTGAATAACACATCCCTGGAGTTAGAAGAGTTACAAAGTCTTGAGGATACAGTAGGATAGTAACCAATGATGTGCTACTTTGTTCACCACAGTGTAGATCAGGTTATTTTGAGGGATTCTTTGCAAACTTTCAAATGCAAATTTCGGAAGACCAGTGGAACCGACGGCAGTAAGAATTGAGAATCCAATCTCCCAATACCCCATATACATTATACTAAATTTTGGGCAAGATTGGAGGGTATCAAAATTTGAACTCAAAACCACCTTTTGATGCATTTTGTCAGTGACGACCCTGGGTCGGCCTGATGGCACCTTCTGGTACAGATCCTGACTAGGACTTCAAACCCCTGTCCATGTTCCTCGACAGTCATACAGTGTATACGACCTGTCGGCAGTTCGAGACCCCGAGATATGTGGATAATGTCCACCAGATGTCGGGGTACAGTATTGTATGGCCTCTTGATACAGTCAAATAAAGATTGATCTCGGAGTGCGAAATGTGGGCCGGTATAGATAATTAAGCCCGGCCGATCACATCCTCACTGGTTGGGAGATTCAAATTTTTCAGCACAATTTACAGTGAAAAATATCGTTTGTTTTTTAGACATTTTTCACCGAAAAAGTAGGTGGAAAATTTAAATCTTTTTCACCAGGTTTTGCCTTTCTTTTGAATTTTTTACCTCGAGCTCAAAAAAATGGTGAAAATGATTTGAGTTTTTCACCCACTTTTTCGGTAAAAAATGTCTGAAAAACGAACGACATTTTTCATCATAAATTGTGCTGAAAAACTTGAATCTCCCAACCAGTGCCTTGGCATCAAATGTTTGATTTGGGTCACAATTTGGGAGATTTTGGGAGGGACTGGGCTATATCAAGGAGGATCAAGCCAAAATCTCCTTATCAGTACAATACAGGCACTTGAAACGGCGTCACAATTACACCAGCAATATCATTGCGCGCTAGAGGTAATGCTACCGGAGCCCCGCAAGGGCTCGTTCCTTGGCTCTGTCTGATTTGGCACGCCCAGGCATAGCTGGCCCGGTGTATGGATTGACACAACAAAAATTTGGATGAGGTAGCGGGAGCTTAGCCAATTTGGTGAAGTGTGATGTGACATTCCCCATATAGGCTTTATCCGACGAAGTCGTTAATTCCAACCCTTCAAGCGCTCCAACACCCTCAGGACTCGAGAGAAGCGAGGGGTGTCATCTACAACTGAGTCTCAAATTTTTCCAGCTAGATCTGTGAAGAATTGAAGGTGGAAACAAAAGGATGGACCTCAAATCATTTGTGGTTTTGGTGGGTTTCGGCAATGATCTTGGTTTTTAGAGGGATCCACCGCACTCCGCGTTAAGCTCCTTCTTTGACAATAAGAGGTGGTGGTTGAAAACAAAAAAAGAAAGTGATCGTCAGCCAGTGGTCGAGAATATCTTGCTGTGTGGCATCTTCCGACGCTTCATCGACGCACTGGCCAAAGAGCTGAGGGAGTCCACAGACCTCTGACGACGAGTTTTATTCGTTAGAACTGACGCACCCAACGATTACCCTCACGGTGGCCCTCCGGATTTAGCAGCCCCTCGATACAGGTGCTGTCTTGTACGTCATTGAAAGTGCTCACTAACGACTCCTCACCTCTCGGACATCTGGCTGTTGCGTCTTGGATGTGCCTTCTTTGCAAATCTCATATGCAACTGGGCAGAGCTATCAAATCGATGGTTCACGGTTGGAGAAATCTCAGTTAAGCGCACCGAACTCTCTGCCAACATGCCCTCCTCTTCGTCATCCTCCTCAGGCTCCTCACCGTTCGCTCATGCCTTCTCCGCGAATTCCACCCCAGCATTCAGCGCTCAGCACCTCGAGGAATAAATAATGGTGTTTTTGCGTTTGGCGCCCGATCGCTGCTCTCGGGCTCATGCCCCTCCACGGGGCATCTGCTCCCGCCGTTTCAGCCACGCGTCTCCACGTCGCCGAAGAAACGGGGAAGAACGGTGAAGCCCCACAGAGTAATCATTGTGGGGAGTAGGACGCGCCGCACCCGCAGGGGGGGAGGGCTGGGCGGCGTCGATCTCGTCGGGGGTGCGAGGCGGCCGGACTAACTAATCCATCCTTAGGGTTAGGGTGGCGGTAGCTTTGTTGTTGGAAGGCGAGATGGTCTTGTACGCCGGCGCAGCACTGCAGTGCCGGGCATGTACAACGATGCGGTAGCAATTGCCGCCTTGACCTCGCGGTGAGGAAACTGCGACAAGAGTATAAGGGCTCTAAATTGCATACACATGGGATGTATTAGAATTTGCCACTAAAACTACGAGCCCAAAATCTCTTCAGGGAGTGAGAGAACCGTAATCATCTCATCTGATCATCGTGTCTCAAGAGGCAGTACAATACTGTATGCATGAAGAGCCGTTCACCGGATGTCAGGATATGAGAAGTCACAACTCCGGAGTATAAGGAAGTCGTCCTAGATAGTTCAGGGTGTGGATAGAATTAGACCCCAGCGGGGATGAGAGTCGAGGGGTCTGAGTGAGAGCTCAAGCCTGTATCAAGCCAAAGTGGGCCTGAGATTAAACGAGGCAGAATCTACTGTACAGGAGATTTTACTACCGATTATGTAGTAAAATAAATAACTTGGTGATCGTGGTTTCCTAGTGACTAATCACTGCACAGGGTTGATGTGACAGTTATTTGGCGTAAAGGGGGTTTCAATACCGCTCGAAACCTCCTGGTTTGAATAACTTGATCGGAATTTGAATAGTCGCTGCTGTCCATGCTGTGCTGATCCGAGTATGCCACATCGTGATCCGAGCGTGATCATGACACATTTAGTGGGAGTGGGCAGCGATGGGAAATTGATGGGCTGATGGGAAAGCGTACAGCCACATCAACTCCTGTCGCTCACTCGTTCTTGCCGTTTTGGCCCACGCTGGTATGGATTGAGGGAAATAAAACAGTATAAGGTATCTAAGAGGCCATACAGCTATAAGGCATGTAGCAAGTACTTATTAGAATTTTTACATTGCATTATTCCTCCATCTCGACGTCCTCCTCCCCCTCCCAGTCATCAACCACCTCTGGAACCGGTACAATATCCTCTGGTGTGGACTCCGGCACAGAGGGTAATGTCCCGTTCGACTTGTACCAGTCAAACACTGTCTCCAGCGCTGCTAATTTGTCTGCCTTGAGCTTATAGTTGCTGGTTGCCAAGATGTTTGGTACACTGCGTGCGCGATATGAGTTGAGTTGATCAACGATCTTGGGGACTGTCAGCTTAGACAGCTCGTTACGAGGTATCAGCTCCTGCTCAAGATTCTCCTTGCGCAGTTCTGCTGCTCTTCGAATTTTTGCGAGAGCTTTCTCCTTTTGCATTGCCGCGGTCCGGAGTCGGAAATCCACAATCCGTGCTCGCATCTTGGCTTCCTCGCCACTGGCATCGATTCGCCGCGCTTCCCGCATGACATATGCGTGGTCTTCAGCAGTAAATGTCGCATCCATAAAATCCTGGGTGTTGTTTCGTCGAAACATTGCCTGCACGTTGTACTGATGCAGCGACAGAGTCGGTTCTCCCCGCACAGCAACGGTGTATGCGCCAAGCCCACCCTCGTTTGCATCATTTGTCGAAGGCATCCACGCCAGCTGTTTTTCGGTCGCAGAACAGGTGGAGAAGCGCGTAAAGGTAACCAATGCACCACGAGAGAAGGCGAGGGTAATCTCCTTAACGTGCGGCAGTTTCGGAATCAGGTCAAACACCGCTGCCATTGCCGCGGGGTCACTCCACTCCTGGCCGTCGAGTGTCGCTGTCTCGTGCGAGACCTCCGACCCAAAAATAAGGTCAGGATCCTCTAGTAACATTTTAATATGATCTTGAATGGCCTTGTGAAGGGGTCCAAGATCGAGGAGGTTGGTATTCACTGTTCCCGGCCCTCGAACCTGGCGCATGTACGGGTGGGTGATCAAAACCCGGTACAAAACCATCACAACCAACTCGGTGAGGGTCGCGGGGTCCTGTAACGCAGCGAGTAGGTTTTTTTCGATGTTGGTGAGTGAGGGATAGGCCTTCGTCCAAACGGATG